GTTATCCTCCTCCCAATAGGACATGAACAAATTTGCCAGGCTGGGGGCAAACTTTGCCCCCATGGCAACTCCCCTTAACTTGCAGGTAATAGTTGCTGTCAAACCACATATAGTTCTTTGACATGGCAAAATTCAGAAGTTCCAGTATGAAATCGATATGTGGAGGGAGTAATGAGCTCTCATGCGTAAGATAATGCTTAGCGACTGTCATCCCATCTTTATGGTCAATGTTGCTGTACAACGCCTCCACATCCGCTGTTACCAGAAAAGAGGATGGAGGAATAGAGATGTCTTTGATGGAATTTAGGACATGCTTCGTGTCCCTTAAATAGGAAGGGGTATGCAGTACTAGCGGTTGAAGATGGTGATCAATATAGGCCCCTATCCTAGAGCAGAGTGAATCGATCCCGCTCACTATTGGTCTGCCCGGAGGTTTTTGTGGATTTTTATGTACTTTGGGCAGTATGTACAAGACCGGTAAGCGAGGGGCCTTGGGACACAAGAATTCCTTCTCTTTTTTATTAACAATTGATCTATCATAACCGTTTTTAATAATAGTTTTGAGAGTGCGTTTATACTCTGATAAGGGGTCTTTATGAAGCGGTTGGTATGTAGACGTATCTCCAAGGATATTATATACCTCTGCTATGTAATCACTCTTATTTAAAATGACTACCCCTCCCCCCTTATCCGCAGGTCTTACTACGAGATCTTTCTGCTCTAGAAGGGATTTGATTGCTGTGTCTATTTTGGGATCTTTGTATATTTTCTTAGTAGGAAGATTTTTTAGATCTTTCAATACTTGATCTCTAAATAAACTGACAGCTGAATTACTTTGTGGTGGGGGATTGAAAGTAGAAGCATTAGAAAGAGAAGTATATTGGCATGAGGGTTCTAGAGCAGAAAGATCTCGTAGTAAGACCTGCGGATAAGGGGGGAGGGGTAGTCATTTTAAATAAGAGTGATTACATAGCAGAGGTATATAATATCCTTGGAGATACGTCTACATACCAACCGCTTCATAAAGACCCCTTATCAGAGTATAAACGCACTCTCAAAACTATTATTAAAAACTGGTTATGATAGATCAATTGTTAATAAAAAAGAGAAGGAATTCTTGTGTCCCAAGGCCCCTCGCTTACCGGTCTTGTACATACTGCCCAAAGTACATAAAAATCCACAAAAACCTCCGGGCAGACCAATAGTGAGCGGGATCGATTCACTCTGCTCTAGGATAGGGGCCTATATTGATCACCATCTTCAACCGCTAGTACTGCATACCCCTTCCTATTTAAGGGACACGAAGCATGTCCTAAATTCCATCAAAGACATCTCTATTCCTCCATCCTCTTTTCTGGTAACAGCGGATGTGGAGGCGTTGTACAGCAACATTGACCATAAAGATGGGATGACAGTCGCTAAGCATTATCTTACGCATGAGAGCTCATTACTCCCTCCACATATCGATTTCATACTGGAACTTCTGAATTTTGCCATGTCAAAGAACTATATGTGGTTTGACAGCAACTATTACCTGCAAGTTAAGGGAGTTGCCATGGGGGCAAAGTTTGCCCCCAGCCTGGCAAATTTGTTCATGTCCTATTGGGAGGAGGATAACATTTATGCTATGGACTGGCCTGAATTGCTGTATTATAAGCGGTATATTGATGACGTGCTCCTGTTTTGGAATGGCACGGAACAATCCCTTATAAATTTTTTCTCTACCCTCAACAATAATTCTGTGAATATTAAATTATCATACAAGTTTAGCAACACTGAAATTGATTTCCTAGATCTCACTCTAATTAACACCGGTGGACACATTACTACCAAATCTTTTTTCAAAACCACCGATCGAAATAGTTTCATCCCATTAGGGAGCTGTCATCATCCCAGTTGGTTGGCAGGTATACCAAAGGGACAATTCCTCAGGTTGAGAAGAAATTGTACTAACATCGACACTTACCATACGCAGGCTAATATCCTTAAAGAACGATTCCTTGAGAAAGGATATGACGGGAAGGTTTTGAATGAAACTATGGAATTAATAACCAACATGGATAGGCATGATTTATTAAATACCCAGACGAAACCACCTAAAAATTTGGTATGTCCATTTATTACAACATTCTCTGCCCAATATAGATCCATTAAACATATAATTACTAAGAACTGGGGGATTTTGAGGCTGATACCACCCTTGCTAAGATACTTCCGGAGAAACCCGAGGTCATCTTCCGTAAATCGTCCACCTTGCGGGATAAAATAGCCCCTAATGTTGTTACCATGCCTAAATCACCTCCCACTCTGTTTAACTATACGGGCTTCTACCCATGCAACAATTGCATCGCCTGTAAATGTAATGGTATGAGGAAAAGAAAGATAGACACCTATACCTCCAACCAAACTAAGAGATCGTATAACATCGATAAATTTATTTGCTGTAATAGCAGATTTGTTGTGTATTTACTGGAATGCCCCTGTCTCAAGCAATACATTGGTAGGACAACCAGGCGCCTTAGGGACCGCCTTCGAGAACATGTTAACAACATCAAGAAGGGATTTAAGGAACACTCATTGTCCCTCCACTATAGGAAACATCATCACAGAGACCCTACCAGCTTGAGATTTGTGGGCATTGACATTGTGACTCCACATTGGAGAGGAACTTGTAAAACTAGGGCCGTCTCACAATTAGAGACTAAACACATTTTTGAATTAGATACTTTATATCCTGCAGGTTTGAATATCGAACTGGATGTCAATTGTTTCATTGACAACAGTTAATTCTGCGGTGCTGGACTAACAGTTTGTGGATTTGTCTATTACCTTTCGATATTAGACACATTGCTATCCATTTTCTATTGCCAATTCACACATTCAGGCCAAGTAAGCGGACCAGTTTACATCATGCCTTAGGCCCCTTTTGCGCATTGACATAGGATTACTCATTAATCCCGTCATCCTTTACATGCGCTGGTACAATTTGCATTTTGACCCTCAATAGTTCTTTTTATTGTGCTGGTGCCAACTGCACTTCGCTTTTTATTTAATTTTATCTACTTTTTACTTATCATTTGTCATTCCATAATTTTGGGATTCTATCTTGCACGTTTTATGTATGTTATTATGTCATATATGGGTCTTGATCGCATCTCTGTTGACCAATTCCCATGCGTTATTTTAGTACTATTTTGCCATTCCACCGTGGTGTCCTTAATTTTATTTATAGGTAATTTTCCCTACGGTGGGGGCATGACATTACGATTGATTCACAATCGGTTTAACATTAACCATTAACCCCGCTTCATTTGTTTGGGGCATATGGAGTTAATGGCCTTTTATCATAGCAGCACTGTCACCAGCTCTCTGTTTATTTTGATCTGGTTTTTATATTATTCTTTTTTTACATGTATCATTTTGTATGGGATGCCCTTGGGTGGGGGTTTTCATTCATTACTTCTCTGTGTTTCAACACCGGGTTCTGTAGTCATTTACTATCAGAGATTCACTTTTCCCTGCGCCAGTGGGATTGCACTGTGTATACACGGGATGATGGCATTCGCGCATGCGCTGTGAGCCTATCTCGGACAGCCGAGCTCCGCTTATATGGAGCCGCTCTTCAGTGATTCCCGTTCTCTCCTGGCCCACGGTGAAATGGCACCCGCGCATGCGCACTTGGGTTTTGCGGACGCACGGACTTCGGCAAGATGGCGCCGCATCAGTGCGCATGCGCGGAATACGATATTTAAGTACGATCGAACGGTCACGGCAGCCCTATGTTCCACCTCTGAGGAAGTGCGTGCGCACGAAACGCGTCAGGTGGGACCCTAGGACGCCGTTGACATCAAGCCGCCGGTGCCACGAGGAGGCCCGGCGGCCATTTTGACATCCAATAGGGTCAGTGTGTTTGCCCATACTTGGCTATTCTCCTGTATTCTGCACCTATGCTGCTTTCAAATAAAGTTTTAAATTACTGCACTATGAGTGCTCCCCTGTGTCTCCTGTGAGGAGCTTTTCCATCCTTGCAGCCCTTGGGATTCCTGTGCCAGTTCCTTGTGGAGGCTCATCTGGATCGTCATTGCTCTGACCTGCTGGATCATTTCCCACCACATGAGGGCGCAGGATCTTCATTCTTCCAAGCCATATACCTGACCAGCCTTCAGTGGAGAAAGGATCTTCAGGATATATACACATATGCGCATTACCCATGCGCGTTCTGGTTAGTGCAAAATTCTACCATTTACACTGGGAAACAAGGAACACTGTTGTTTTACTGGACTGTGTCTATTATTATTTCTAATATCATTTTTAAGAGCGCTGCATTTCTTCTGTTTAGCTGTTGTGAATAGTCTTGTACCATGTGATCTCTGTGATCATTCACAGATTTCACACGTAGTAAGCAATGATATCAGAAGTGACATCTTGCTTATTACTATTCATGTGATCACTGATTGGCCAATCAGTGATCACATGATCAGGACCTCACATAGAGGTCCCCTACAGCTCCCAGTCCTGCACTGCCCCCCTCTGGCAGTTTATGTACATGGGCGGACGGAAGTGGTTAATAAAAACCATACTCTGTTTTTATTAATGACTGACAAAAGTGCATTTTTTGTAATAATTTAATTGTATTTTACAATTACAATATGAAACAGATGCGCACTGCTGCCATCTTCAGGCTGCATTTTTATTTTGCCAGTGAAACCTCCTGCCTGTTTGTTATCACTACATCATAGCTGACTTATTAAGCACATTATTATTATTATTATACAGGGTTAATATAGCACCAGCAGTTTGCACAACACCTTACAAACAAAATAAAATGATTAGTTTCCCAATTGTCAATGAGGACAGGAATAGTCAATGACTGAAGAGTCTTTAAAAGGGAGGATGGGGGCATCGTGCTGGGGAGTTTTAATGTATAGATTGTAGGCAGGAAGTGGTTGGCTGTTAAAATTGCATTACATGCATTTTCTGATCCTAATCATTACTTACAGCTGTCAGAAGAGCTCATACAGTCACTCCCTGAGATGGCAGAGGGATATTTTCTGAAAGGTCTAATCCATTACGTGCAGAAGAGTTACAAAGAGGCTGAAAAAAGGTTGGTTACTTCACATCATTGATGTGCTGGAAGAATCCCCTCCATGTCAGCTGCCTCGTCATAAACAATGGCCAGTGCATTGAAGCATTGATCTGACTGGCTTGGGAAAGGGGGCTAAATACTGTTAATGAACATGTCTTTGAAGAGTTTAATTTATTCAGGTCATGCTACAGCTAGTCATAGTTGGTCAAAACTGAGCTTGTTTTATAATCCTGTAGTTATTTCTATATTCGTCCAAGTGGCTTCTTCAATTCCCAACACTCATTTCAAGTAAGGAAGGTTCAGACATCTTAAAATTACAAAACAATGAGTCTTTCTACTAGATACAACTACTAAAACATATTGGTTAAAAAGTTGAAAGTAAGATATCTTATTTAAAACAGGGTTATCCCCTCAGTGGAGTTGTTGGGGAATCCTTGAACAAAGATTGATACATTCCTTACCCCTCCCAGAAGAAACAAAATCAACTAACCATTAATTGCTTTAGTTTGTAAGCCTGCACTGAATTCAAACCTGCTTAGTTCCTATGGATTACTTTACTTTGTACATTATGGTTACCTACTGCACTATCTTGCTTTAAGGTCAACTCCATGAAAATTAAAAACAAAAAATCCACCCTTGCAGTGGAGCCCCCTTGCACTGCAAGGGTTAATTGCTTGTTATGTCTATTGGATTTCAGAATGGACTGTATCACTCACTTTATACCCTGGCTGGCCCCAGTGCTGTCCTCCTCTGCTCAAAACTCCAGTCTGTGGGTGGAACCTTGGTGTCATCACACACACAATACAGGGTCATTAACCCTGTATTGTATGTTTTGGAAGCTGGAATGCAAGACCAGAGCCAGTCTCAGCTTACAGAGGAGCTACAGGGGACTGGTTGCAGCACTGGAGGGATGTTTCTGGAGCAATGAATAGGGTAAATATTTCCTCCCTAATCTTCTGCCCCTAGACCTAATTAACAGGTAACCATTGCAATGCGGGGGACCCTACTGCAAGGTTGTTTTTTTTTCCCCTGGAGTGAGGCTTTAAAGTGGTTGTAAATCCTTATATATATGAAGTGACTATCCTCAGCGGATACATAGAGATGAAAAAAATCCTCCTGCATACATTGATCTGTAGCAGTCTCTCCTCTACCTCCATTTAAAGTCCAGAACAAATTCTCCTATGTACGTTGTACCTGTTTATCTGTAGCCATTTCTACAACACACAGGTGAAAAGATTTTTCTCGATAGCAGAAAGCTGAGGTTGGGAATCTGACACAACACCCACTGCAGAGCTAGAGCACAGAGCTGAGTGTAATCTGAGAGCTGATTGGGGTAATGGGACATTCACTCCTCTTCACAGACTCAGGAAAACATAGTACTGAGGGTATGAATCATCTGGTGTGTGCTGTAGGGGGTGTTGGCTTAAAGTAGAACTTTTTGTCATTTTGGATGTAGCAAGGGATGGGTATAGGCCCCATAAGGTTTATTTTGGCCATCTGTGTCCCATTGGAGAGATTTCTCTTCACTTCCTGTCTCATAGCCAAAAGAAGAAGTGAGAAAAAAAACCCTCTATAGTGAGGCAATCCCTGGTTGTCAGCAGGTTTACCAGAACTAGTGTCTTTATTGGAATATGTCCCCACTATTCCTGTCTTGGGGACAACCCAAAATTTTGGATTTTCTTTTGATTTCTCTGTCAGTGATCCTTCTCAGTGAACCTTGGCTGCATTGCATCTTTTTGGAAAGTTTTATAGTAGTGAAAGCCATTTACCACTTCTGGTGTTCTTGGAATTATATGTATTAGTGTTCTTTATTAATCCAGTCCAGTCATGCCAGAATGTCTCATGCTAGTAGGAACAATGTGGCTGGGAATCCGCTTTTTTCATGAAGCCTTGTAACACATGTATAATTTTTGTGCTGTGTTTCAGTTTTCAGAGTGCCATTCAGAGAAATCTGGAAGTTGCAACCTATTATTACTATCTTGGACTCACTTACTGGTTTATGAGTGAAGAAACCAAGAGAGACAAAACAAAAGCTGTCACACAGTTTTTAAAGGTACGTAAACATTTTTTTTTTTTCAATCTTTAGGTTGTTTCCACTGTAGATTGGGATTATTGGTAGATTGATCACCTTGTTGACCATTATCCCTCAACTCCCCATTCATTCAGAAGCTTGCTTGCACCGGCCCTCTGCTAGTGTGCCTTGTGACAATAAACATTTGATGGTTACAGAATAACCCCATCATTCATTATGTACATTTAAACTAGCCAAATACCTACAGAGTGGTTGTAGAAAAAAAAAGAATTCTTTCTGTGAAGAACAAGTATTGTTTTTAGGCTGTCATGGCTCTGGTCACATGGAAGAAAGAAAACAAGTTGTGAATAAGCAGTCCTGAACCCAGATTTTTGAATGACTGTATGATGTAGTAGCGGATTTCTTTTGTTTGCTTTTGAATACTGTTCTATAAATCAGCATGCTATAATGGGGGTGGTGAGTGCAGACCTAAGATGTTTAAAGGATAAGTTCACCTTTGGGAACATGTTACATGTTCCGCATGTTTTTATGGTGGGACATGTAACATGTTCCCACTGTTGTAGCCTCTCACGGACCCACCACCTTTAGTAACAGCGAGCCAGGGAGCTTCTCCCAAATCTCCTTGTCACAATTATTTAAAAATACAGCTGTACAGGGCTCCGTCCTCCCGGCCACACCGTTCATTCACAGGGTTCTGTGAATAGGAAAACTACAACTGCCGTCAACCTTTGCAGCTGGATTCACAGGTGTGAATGCACCCTAAAATATGCCTAAACTTAGGGGAAAAACACTCTGTGACTTAAGAAGATTGAGGGAGACAAAGGCTTGGGACTCAAATACCTAAAGAATATGTAAACCCAACATTTCATATTCTTGATTCCATGCCGTCTGCTTTCCTAATAAAAACTGGCCACACTAAGCAGGAGAGCACATTGTGGTCAGTTCTGTAGTTGTGTTGGGAACTCCGCCTGCTCTCTTCCACAGCCCCATGCTACACTCTAAGGTGTGGTTTAACCAGGTGCTTTGTCAGGAGATTGTCTCTTTTCCCTAAATTGGAAAAATAACAGTCTTGTTAAAGCATATGTCAAGATAGATTTACAGTGAATATAAAAAGACTACACACCCCTGTTAAAATGTCAGGTTTCTGTGATGTAAAAAAATGAGACAAAGATAAATAATTTCTGAACTTTTTCCACCTTTTAATGTGACCTATAAACTGTAAACCTCAATTGAAAAACAAACAGAAATCTTTTAGAAGGGGAAAGTAAACATAAAAAACTAAAATAATGCGGTTGCATAAGTGTGCACACCCGCTTATAAATGGGGATATAGCCGTTCAGAATTAAGCAATAACATTAAAAATCATGTTAAATAGGAGTCAGTACGCACCTGCCATCATTTAAAGTGCCTCTGATTAACCCCAAATAAAGTTCTGCTGTTCTAGTAGGTCTTTCCTGACATTTTCTTAGTCACATCCTACAGCAAAAGCCATGGTCTGCAGAGAGCTTCCAAAGCATCAGAGGAATCCCATTTTTAAAAGGTATCAGTCAGGAGAAGGATACAAAAGAATTTCCAAGACATTCGATCTACCATGGAGCACCGGGAAGACAGTTACCATCAAGTGGAGAAAATATGGCTCAGCAGTGACATTACCAAGAACTGGACGTCCCTCCAGAATTAAAAACACGAGAAGAAAACTGGTCTGGGAGGCTGCCAAGAGGCCTACAGCAACATTAAAGGAGCTGCAGGAATATCTGGCAAGTACTGGCTGTGTGGTACATGTGACAACAATCTTCCGTATTGTTCATATGTCTGGGCTATGGGGTAGAGTGGCAAGATGCAAACCTTTACTTACAAAGAAAAACATCCAAGCCTGGCTAAATTTTTAAAAAACACATCTAAAGTCTTCCAAAAGCTAAAAGCATGTGGGAAGATGTGTTATGATCTGATGAAACCAAAGCTGAACTTTTTGGCCATAGTTCCAAAAGATATGTTTGGTGCAAACACAACACTGCACATCACCAAAAGAACACCATACCCACAGTGAAGCATGGTGGTGGCAGTATCATGGTTTGGTGCTGTGTTTCTTCAGCTGGAACTGGGGCCTTAGTCAAGCTAGAGGGAATTATGAACACCATACCAGAATACCAGTCAATAATGGCACAAAACCTTCAGGCTTCTGCAAGAAAGCTGAACATGAAGAGGAACTTCATCTTTCAGCATGACAAGGACCCAAAGCATACATCCAAATCAACAAAGGAATGGCTTCACCAGAAGAAGATTAAAATTTTGGAATGGCCCAGCCAGAGCCCACACCTGAATCTGATCAAACATCTGTGGGGTGATCTGAAGAGGGCTGTGCACAGGAGATGCCCTCGCAATCTGACGGATTTGGAGTGTTTTTGCAAGGAAGAATGGGCAAATATTGCCAAGACAACATGTGCCGTGCTGATAGACTCATACCCAAGAAGACTGAGTGCTGGAATCAAATCAAAAGGTGTGTCAACAAAGTATTAGCTTAAGGGTGTGCACACTTATGCAACCATATTTTTTTATTTTTACTTCCCTCCACCTAAAAGATTTCATTTTGTTGTTCAACTGAAATGTACGGTTTATAGGGCACATTAGAGGTGGAAAAAGTTCTGATATTATTTATCTTTGTCTCATTTTTTTACATCACAGAAACCTGACATTTGAACAGGGGTTTGTAGACTTTTTATATCCACTGTAAATGAATATTGTATTATAGACTGCATTGTACCTCATCCCTAATAAACAATTAAGAAAAAAAGAACATAATGGGACTTTACTGGTACAGTGTAGGACAAACTCGCATTTGTAAATTTACATATTTATTTGGAATACATAATGAAATGACATTATTTAAAAACAAACATGCTTAACCAGCCCAAATAGTGACAGCAGTATCTTCCATAGCATTGTATCCTCCAGAGGTCGACATGGTTCGCTTGTTAGCTTCTTCAGGACCCAAACAATTGGAAGCAAAGAGATCTATTGCCTTAGCTAAGAAAATATACATAAATAAGCATACATAGATCATTAGTCATACAATATAAATTCCACAAAAAACATTTATATTGTATGACTAATAGGTGTGAGTTTTGGCTGGACATGCATATTTTTTAAACATCTTTGCCATGGGAAGCCATAGAAAGGTTTTTGTTTAGACCCAAGCTCCTGTAGCATTGATATGTAACATCCTTATGTTTGCCTTTCCTAGTCAGACTAAGATGTTCAGTTTGCAGTATGTTTTTCATTTAATTTTTAATATAATTTTGTATAAATTGTTTAATTTGTTATACTTACTGATCCCTTTTTGATCTGCAGGCTGCTAAACTTGATCCCTGTTATTCCAAAGTATTTTGCTACTTGGGACATTACTACAAAGACGTAGCTGGTGACAAAGGCCGAGCTCGAGGATGCTATAAGAAGGCATTTGACCTAGATAAGAGAGATGGAGAGTCAGGAGCAGCGGCTGTGGATCTAAGTATGGATCTTGGTGATATGGTAATTAAGCCTACTGATTTCTCAGAGGAAAACTATTGTGGTTTTGGGTCAGTACCAAGTACATTTATGACACTGGATTTACATAGCACTATGGATTTTTTTAATCCCTTAATGACAAACATTTGCATATATGCAGCCTTACTGAAATGGGTCTTGTTCCATGGGGCCACATATACGTACCTATGTTTTATACTGGGAGCGTGCTGCACAGCACACTCCCAGCACAGAGACCAAGCTGTCACCAACACCAATAGCTCTAAGTCTCATACTAATCATCGGAAGCTGGGAGGACCAGCTTTCTTTCACATGATTGCTGTGCTTGCCTGTGATTATCTATCACAGCGATCAGTAACTACGGCCCCATGTTCATTTTTGTTCTTGAATTGAGGAAAAATATACATTGCATCTTTTTCTTCTTGCTAAATGAGAAGTATGTCAACAAAGTTTGTGTAAAAAAACAAAGATCGTGCAGGGTTTGATCTAGGTTGGGGAATAAAGTCAGGGTCAGTGTGATTTTAGGTAGGTTAAAAAAGCAGGATTGTCAGGAGTAGGAGAATCTATTTTGGGCTGTTCTACTACTAAATTATGTTCAATTTTAAAAGTCAGTTTTTCACTTAGTTTAAAGGTAAAGCAAAGAAAATGTACTTTGCAAAGAGTACCCAGTCATGTTCATGGAAAATTAAACCGTACATTTGATTGCAAAGAGAACATGTTCGACTCTTTATGAGAATCAACCCTAGTACTGGGAAGTCTGCAGCAGATCAATGAACATCAATAAAACGCTGATTGGGGTTCTAGAGTTTATTTGCTCTTGAAAAAAGTGTTTTTTTTTTTCTTGTCCATTGAGGGGCACAGGAAATCTTTAATCTTTAACACTATTGGACACTGGCAAACGAAAAAAAAAAAAAAAAAACTGTAGGCCTCGATTTTTTTTTTTTTTTTGCTAGGGTCTTAGGAGAATGGGTGCCTTTTCTTCAGCTCTGCTTTGTAAAGAGCTAACTTATTTTTGCTAGCACTTTTTTTTTTTTTGAATGTTGCTGGAAGTGACCTTTGGCCACTGGGTTCCACATGGAGCCATGGAGCTCTGGTAAAAGTAAGCTACAGAGTGCTTTTCGATTCCAGAGCCACTGGCATTGCTGGCAGTTGATTCTTCTTCTATAGAATGTGTGAAGCTGATGGCTGTGGCTATAAAACTTTAGTTGTGTCTTATTTCCCACATGTTCCTCATGTCAGTATAATATATGTAAAGCATTAGTCATTAGATTGCAGAATCTGTGTGCATGAAGTGTTTGATCCTTATGGAGTTTGAGGGACAACTTCTCTTTGCACCAGCACTTGATAATTTTATCAAGGATGCTACTGTGGCAAGGGCTTCCATCTGTCTCAGTGGAAGAAGCCTAAGGAACCGACTGAAAAATCTTCTCCCTTCCTGCTGTTAAGAAGCATACTTTTGTTTCTCCACTCCTTCTATTTCCATGTCAGAACCGCCAAGCTTGGCTGCCAGTCCACATGCTATGAGGTCTGGCACTCCAGGATATCCCATAGATCAACCATCATTAAATGGCGAACCGCGGTCCGAGCAAGGACCGAGCAACACTCCTGTTCGGACCATCAGCCCAAACAGCCAGATCCCTGCCTTTGAGTAGTCATTGATTGCTGGGGACGCGGGCATCCCAGCAACCAGTGATGTCACGGGTGCACCCCCTTAGCAAGGTTCCTGGCACAGCTCCCACCCCCTGCAGCTCGCAACCTGTGCTGGCTCCCGCTCCCTGCTTGCACTCAAGGTGTGTGTGTGTGTGTGTGTGTGTGTGTGTGTGCACGCACTTCAAATAAATTTACAGGGAGCATGCTGATGGGCACATTTTATTTTAAGGGGCACACTGATGGGCACATTTTATGTTAAAGAGGCACTCTGATGGGCAAATTATATGTTAAGGGGGGCACTCTGATGGAGACATTTTATGTTAAAGGGCACTCTGATGGGTACATTTTATATTAACGGTTAATCTGATGGGCACAATTTATGCTGTCCTCATTCTAGTGCCCCTTAACATAAAATGTGCCCGTCAGAGTGCCCCTTAACATAAAATAAGGTGCATGCTGATGGGCACATTTTATGGTAAGGGGCACTCTGGGTGCCGTTTTGTATTTTATGCTAAGAGGCACGCTGATGGACACAATTTATGTTAAGCGGCACTCTGGCCCCTTTTTATGTTAAGGGGGCACTCTGGCACATTTTATGTTAAGGGTCACGCTGATGGGCAAATATGTTAAGGAGGCATGCTGATGGGCACATACTATGTTAAGGGTGCACGCTGATGGGCACTTACTATGTTAAAGGGGCATGCTGATGGGCACATACTGTGGAAAGGGTCACTCTGATAGGCTACACATGTGATCAATTATGATACGAGTCATTTGAAAGCTTGATATTTCATGCCATGAATAATAACTATGACCGTTATCATTCATGGCCTGATTTGATTGTAACTCTTTGGAAACGCCATCACACCTGCTACACCATCTTAAAAGCAATACTGGAGTCGCTATTTGAAACACCCTGTTTTGTATTCTTCCGCATCAAAATTCCGAGTGGCATGATTTCACATACTAGCAAATTTTAATAAAAGTTTGCATAGCTCTGTCATGGCACAAACCTCGGCTGGAAGAAAATTTTAGTTACCAGACCAACTTGAATTTTAATTCAGTACCCCTGCCATAGATGATTTTTTCCGTTCAACCAGCAAGTTAAATGAAAAAACCTGATCCGATTGCCCCACACACTTGATGTGGATGGGGGAATCCTCCCCGCTGAGTCTTTGTTTTCTGACAGCTGGATACATTCTTTGTTAAAGCATATAGCTGATAGAGCTGGAATAAATGTATTGCAACCTCTGATGTTCTAGATTTTACAGAACTTTGCTTTCTTATCATAAAGCAGGTTGTAAACTTATTTGGAATTGGCTATATGCTAAAAGTGTTTTTATCACTGGCTGTGCAGTTCTGTAATTTTACTGAAAAATGTCTCTGTCTTCCAGGACACAGCATTAGCTATTTTGTCAGCTGTTACAGAAAAAGTAAGTGCAGGAACTGCAAAATGGGCTTGGCTCAGGCGAGGTCTCTTCTATCTGAGAGTCGGCCAGCATTCTAAAGCCGTATCTGAGTAAGTGTGCACTTCCATGTGTATCAAACTTAGCTCATTCATAGGTTAAAACAAGTTGTGTTTTTTTTTCTTCTAAAGTGTTTTTCCAGCTAAAACATTACAACTTAGTGTTGCATAGAGTGGAAAATTGTTAGAACTTAGAACTTTTAGGGTTTTACTGCTTTTTGCAGCTCCTTTGGAGAGGAAGGAAGTAAGGCAAAATCTGAAACCGGGAACAGACAACAATAAATAGCTGACATGGGTTCTAGTCTGCCCCTACTCTACTAAAATAAAAGCATTTTTATTTCTGTCAGTGTCTGTCCAAAGAGCATTTATGAGTTCAAAGCAGAGATGAGTGCAACTCACCATGAAAAACTAGATATGTTTAATAACAAAACTTTAGCCATATGCCGCTGAGTTTTGCCATGTTCATATTTCACAACCAATTCGCTGTAATGGAGTGTAGCATCAGGCATACATATTTCTATAGCCAAAGTGTAATTTTTAAAAGCTCTCTTCACAGCACACTGTATGTGTGTAGCATACAAGTCTCAACTACTTAATTAATTCTGTCAGCAAACCTTGTGAATTTAGTATGGCCTTTAACTGTGTTATAATTTGTATTCCATGTGTTCAGTTGATCTGTGTGCACTCATCAAACACTAACTTTGCAATAGCTCATTGATTATTTTATTGAAATACTGTGAAACACTTTTTCTGCTCTTGAAATAATAATTGACACCTTTGTTTTTTAATTAGCTTGCATGCTGCACTTAGAGCTGATCCGAAGGATTCCATCTGCTGGGAGTGTTTGGGAGAGGCCTACCTGAGCAGAGGAGGATACACTACTGCACTGAAATCCTTTTTGAAAGCCAGTGAACTGAACCCAAACTCAATGTACAGTGCGTACAAGATAGCCTCTATCAAGCAGATCCTGGGGACTTATAAAGAGGCCATAACAGAATACCTGCAAATCGTTAAGAAGTCTGGAGAATATGTGCCTGCACTAAAAGGTATTACAAGAATTACACCCCCAGTGAACGACTCTATGTTCACTCTAGGGACAAGGTTATTGCAAAGGTAGCCGTATTGCATCTGTACTGCTGTACCCAACACAGAAGATAGCGCTTATATACACTGAACCAAATTCCAACAAGTTGTAAAAAATTACCTGCATGTGAGGTCTCTTCAACTTCTCTTCTTCAATTATGTTTTCACCTTAAATCATAAAAGAAAATCTGAAAATTTCCTATAAGTTTTGATCAAGTTTTTAATGTGTGTGGTATATCAAATGCTTTTAATTGAATTTGATCCTTTCTACCATTCCCAATTGTGAATTATTTCTATAATTCCCAATCTGAAATAATTTCATTGGTAATAAAATATTTTTTCCTTAATTTCTTTTTAACAGTTGGCTCTTTGTCTCTTTCAGGTCTTGGTGAATGCCATTTAATGCTAGCAAAAGGGGCACTTGCAGATTTCCTGGATGCTAAGGCAGTGGATGCCATAGAAAAAGGGCTTGAATACTTGACAAGGTTGGTGTCTTTTTATTGAAGGTTTTCTTTATATTGATTCAAATAAGATCATTGCAGTTGTTCATTTAAAAATCATTAAATTATTGACCCACCAGTCCAGTTGCTGTATGTGTCCCTGTTAGTGAGTTTCATCCTTCTTATTTTCTGTTTTTGTGGTTACTAATCGTAAATACTAAAGTTACAACTGTTTCCTGAATAGGAGGTGAGAGAAAATTTTTTAATGCAGACACCTGTGGAAATAGGGCATCGTAGTTCACTTCTTGTAGTGTCTTATGGACACAACTTTAATGGGGCAAAAAAAAACAAAAGAAAAAAAAAAAATACCCAGTTGAAAGATAAAATAAAAAAACATAACTTTTTCTGCCATACTCACTTTCAAGTCAGAGCTGCCTCTGTGGTACATTTTTTCATTACAGGTTGTCCTCGGTCTTCCAGGCTAAATGATGGCCATCATCTTTAAACCGATCTCCTCTGATCGGTGGCTTTTTTGTCCCCCAAACACACCTGTTTATATTGGCAGTAGCTCCACCCTGTTCTGAAGCCCAAATTATTGGTGTTCCTGTGGGGGGGAGAGGTACAAGCCAGCATAGAGCTCTTACCCTTCTTTTGAAGCTGAGTGACCTTCCACTATTACTAAAGAAGTGCTGCTTGTTCATTCATAAAAGTAAAAGATCACTCAGAGCTGTCACTCTCTGTCATCTGCCCGCTAGTGCCCTGTATGTGCAAAAGCAGCCATAGATACATAAAACAGAGCAACAGCTCCGATTCAATCAACACTCTTTGGGATCACTCAGCAGATGCGGTCTGTGTGATCTTTCAGGAGCCTCTTTTGCACTTACACAACCATGGCCCCACTACAGGCTGTGTGATCTATCGGTGGCTGCTTTTACACATACACAGCTATAAATCCAGTTGAAGCGCTGTGTTTGATCGTTCACTTTGATGGATGAACAATCATCGATGTCAGACCATGACACTTGGCAATGCTGATGGTTCATTCGAAAAGTGAAAAATCTCTTAGCGCTCTAGGACTGTGTTATCTATCTGCTGTGGCTGTGTAGGTTTAGATGCAGCTGCAGATAGATACCAACACCACTGGGTGTTTTAATGTTTGTGAATGACAGTACTGGTCTCCAATATCGCTCCTGCTGCCAGCTACCAGAACTGTCACTCACAATTCCGTCTGCTTTCTAGCAGCATTGCCCGGACAGCAGCGGGAAAAATGTCAAACCACACTGATGGACAAATTTGAATGGGACCAAGTGCTATTTGCCCTTGGCCCCCTGGGAAAATAAATGTTATTATTTTGTAATATACTTCTTTTTTTAACCACTTTCCCTTCTGTGGATTTACCCCCTTTCTGACCAGGCCATTTTTTGTGTTACGGCGCTGCGTTACTTTAACTGAATATTGCGTGGTCATTCAATGCTGCACCCAAATGAAATTTACGTCCTTTTTTTCCCCATAAATTGAGCTTTCTTTCAGTGGTATTTGGTTGCCTGTGCATTTTTTATTTTTTGCACTATAAAAAAAAGACCGACAATTTTGAGAAAATTTTTTTTTTTTACTTTTTGCTATTAAACATGTCCAGTAAAAAATTTCTAAAAATTTAATTTCGTCATAAATTTAGGCCAAAATGTATTCTGCTACATGTCTTTGCTAAAAAAAAAAAAAAAAAATCCTAATACATGTAAAGTAAATTGTTTACGTGAAAGTTTTAGCATTTACAAATGGCGGTATAGATACTAGTTTTTTTTTTTTACATTTTTACTAGTAATGGCGACGATCAGCGACTTATAGCGGGACTGCAGTGGGCATTCTGACACTGGGGGGAATGGACTTGGTGTCACTGACATCCCCAGTGACACCAATACAGTGATCAGCGCCAAAAAAAATGCACTGACACTGTAGTAAGGGCACTGGGCAGGAAGGGGTTAACATGAGGGGCAATCAAAGGGTTAGCTGTGTGCTGTTTTACTATAAGCTGTGTGTCTGTGCTTCACTGTAACCACACTGCTTTGCATTGCTGTGCTGTGCACAGCCATCCAAAGCAGTGTGCATGAGCTGACAAGGAGGAGAACTGTATTGTTTACATACAGTTCTCCTCCCCGTCGGAGATGCTCGGCTATCGCCGAGCGCCAGCGAGTAATCACCGGCCGTGACACGGTGATTGACAGCTGCAGCCTCGAATGGCTGCGCGGGTAGGGAGCGCACGCCCCCTACCTGGAAATGCACAATCACATATATATACACCAGTGCCGCTCTGTAGCAGTATATCTGCTCTAGGGTTGTCGGGAAGCGGTTATATACTGTCATGGACCCTTTGACAGCCTGTCCGTAAACAGTGAAAAAGAAGCAGCCTTCCAAGCCAGGAAAAGTGATTTGGGCTGCTGTAAAAATTAATACCAGGATCATGGCTGCAGTTGAAGCCATGATTCTGGAATATCCACTTCCCATCCTGTATGCTGGATAGCAAGCAGGTAAAGGCCAATGTTTCCTGCAGGGTTTGGATTAAATTGTTTTGGCTAAACATCTGTGCATATTAGCGATGTACTAGGTGCTTCTTGCAAGTTCCACTTTGATATTTTTGGATTTCATTTTTGTGTTTACTACTGTTATTGTGTTTAATTCCAGGGCAATTCAGCAGCAGCCAGATCTTGTATGTCTATGGAAACTTCTTGGAGATGCCTGTACCTGTCTTCATGCAGTGTCACCAGCTAAGGTCAAAATTAATGTCCTGGGTGCCCTTGTTGGGCAGAATGAAGGCCATAAAGTGATCATTAAATCAGAAGCCTTAGAGATAGGAGCAAGGTTAGAATTGTGTGTATTTTTTTAATCTACTGCAAGACCACACTGCAAATATTGAACAGTCTGAAGTAAAAAGAAGCTGTTCTAAAGAACATATGTTAAACCATAACTCCAACAAATTTTGTGTTTTTTTTTTTTTTAACTTTTAAAGCCCGTATATTAAATCATTGAATCAGTCAATCATAAATTGACAAGCTCTCTCAACTTCAGTGCTGTCCTTAGCTTCTTCCTCTGTCCAGAGCCCACTAGTTTTTTTTCAGGTTCACTCCTCCTATATCCTGTGATCCCAACCGATTGTTGACACACACCGCTGGAGATGGGTCCGCACGCAGGTTGAGCTCACAGCTCTCCTGGACTGAGCAATGCTTATACAATACATGAGCTCTGCTCAGTGCAGGAGGGCCTGGGATTGAGGAAACGTAAAACACTTCATGTAGTAAAAGGCAAACTAGGTTGTTTTTTTTTTTTTTTTTTTTTTTTTTTGTAATATACATCTACTGTTCTCTTTCTAAGGTGTTATGGGCGAGCATTGAAGATTCAACCGTCTGCAAATATCTGGTGTGATCTTGGCATAAATTATTATTACCAAGGTCAAAATCTAATGAGCTCTGACAGCCAAGGAAGTCAAACAAGTCATTTATTGGAAAGATCTGTGCAGGTATGTTTGTGCTGGCTGCAGGAATAAAAGGGGGAAACAGTTTTTACAGAGTTTTACGTGATGACTAATTACATGTTCCTCTACAAATGAAACCTCCTGACTAGAATGTCATTTCCATGTCTTCTTTTGCCTAACAAGACAGTATTAAGCTGTACAGCAACATTACATAAACAAAAATGTATTTTGCTTCACTGCAGCTTTGGGAACATTTAATAGTTGTGAACCTAATAATATGATACTTTCACATGACTTGCAAAATTATTAGTTTCTTTACCCTACAGACAGGGAGACCTGCATCACTAACACATGATTTCTTTATTTTCACTTGGTCTTTCTTTTTTGTTCAGTGTATTAAGAAATCCCTCATGATGGATAGTAGCAGTCATCATTATTGGAATGCACTTGGGGTTGTTTGCTGCTCCAAAGGTATGATCATATGTTGTGGTTTAGTATGCATAATTGTTTTTAGAATTCTTTCCTGACTTGGGAACTGCAGACAAAGTGTCAGTGTTGGCATACTTATGTCTGAAATTCTGCCATTTCCCAGGAATTTGGTATTTATTTCCTATGGCCTTATATGAGCCCAGAAAACAGTACTAGCCTTTTGAAAAGAGACAGCTGGTCTCTGGTTGCTATAGGGAAATCTCCTCATTCTATTGTCCTAGAAAATAAAAAGGTGCTTGTGCAGAGATTCATTTTGAAGAGGAAAGTGAAAATTATGATTGTCTCTGGGTAAAACATAGTTCACTTTCCATAACACTCTTGTACTGATCATTTTGTAGCTCAAAGACACTTAGAAGTGATAATGAAAAACAATTTCTTCTATTTTTTTTCTAGTTTAAATGATTTATTTTTTTCAGGTGTCAGCAATAATGTACTTGCACAACATGCTTTTATCAAATCAATCCAGTGTCAGCCTAATGTGAGTACTGAATGCTTAGTTAACCCAAACCATACCTTCAATATGCATTGCTGCCTTGTGTTTCTGTTTATTATTAGTCTCTCTTTCTCTACAGAATGCTGTTGCATGGACTAATCTGGGTGCTCTGTACTTGGTGAATGAAAATATTGAGGTAAGACACCATATAGATTTTGCCCTCCATCCTCGTTATATACTTACCTCCTTATTTCATAGGGATCTAATTGATGTAAGAAAAACTGTTTATGTTGTACTGTAATGTAAATAAATATTTATATTTTTAAGCTTAGCCATGAAGCTTTCAAAGTGGCCCAGTCTCTTGAACCATCATATGTGAGATGCTGGATCGGACAGGTGAGTCCATTTTAAAAATAATATATTTTGTAAATATTTATTTTATAGGTTCCTGATAAAAAGATAGTCATTGTAATCAATGCAGTTACACTATATGGCCTAAAAAAATGTGAAAGGGCTCAGGAGTACGTCTTGCTCATAGCACAGGCTCGGGAGTACGCATTGTGCAGAGTGCAGGGCTCGGGAGTGCACCGAGCGCAGGAGAGTTCTTGTTGGTCAGAGTACAGGGCTCGGGAGTGCATAATATGTGCAATGGTTTAGAGTATGAGTGCAACGTTCAGAAGGATATAATGCAGAGTGTAGGATTCAGGAGTTTGTAATGCACAGGTGAGTGTGTTTAACAGAGAATGCAGGGATTCAAATTCAACTCCCCCATCCTCCCAGCCCATCAAAAGTACAGCACCAGAACTTCAAAGCAAAATTCTGGAAGACAAACATGTTTTTTTTACTTCAGATTGGTCTAGCTTAGTTATGTCTAAAGCTGCATATCCTACATTCAGAGTTCTGCTGGGGATGCTATATCATGAAAGTTTTACTGTCTACTTTGACTTTTAGCATCCCCAGCTGCCGTCTGCCCTCTGGAAGTAGTATATACAGCTTTAGAGAAAACTAAGCTGGACCGTTCTAAAGTAAGATATATAATTTGTAAATTTGTAAAAATTGTGGGCAAGAACCAGGACATGCCTGTAAATGATGAGGAGCAAATGCCTCGACTGCCCAACACTAGCAATACCCATGTAACCAGACTTTATACAAAAATACTAATGGTTTTAACCATGCTAGGGTTCTTTTTTTAAATATGGTACTTTATGCATTACACTTTCTGTTTAATGTTCCCACCTCTGTATTTGCTGTACATTCATCTGCCCAGGATGTGTTTTGTTTTTTTTTTAGGCCTTGATTGCAGAAAGTGTTGGAAGCTATGAAACCATGGATCTCTTCAGACACACTACTGAGCTCAGTATGCATGTAAGTCATTGCTAATACTAAATTTGCACAAAAAAAAATAATTCTTATCAATTGAGGGACATGGGAAGTCTTGAACCACTGCCACCCTGCCGGCAGAGCAGGCACGGCCACTTATATATACATGATATATACATGACTGCCTTCTGGGTCTGCGAGTGCGCACATACATGCCCCAGTCTGACCTGTGCTGTGGTTGGACACAGCACAACTTTGACAGCTCATTTCAGCCAATGATTTTGGCTGAAGTCAGCTAATTGGCTGTGTTCAATCACATGCAGAGTTTTGTGATTACCAAACAGCATTGCAAAGCAGGGAGAAAAGACAGCTGCATAGTAAAATAAAGGCAGCACATATTACACACGCAACACTTGTTAGGCACACCTCCACACCATCCTGTTCCTATGCAAGACAAAAAGGGGTCTTGGTAGATAAGGGCATCAGTTCAGGCATGTACCTTGCAGAGGTGACATCTACAAGGTAAGCATTATTGTGGTTGAGAGTAGATGGTGAATGTCTCTAATGGATTTAAATGGCGGCTTCTGAAGTGCAGAGAGAACCAGATTCACAGGCGAACAATGGGGGAACCACATGGAAGACTGCTTGAACAAAGGTCTAATATAATAAGAGGCAAATGGTCTGTGAAACAGAACACAAAGAGCAGAAACGCGACCCTTGATGCTGAGGGCCAAAGGGTGGCTCAGATCTAACTACATAAAAGGAAAGGAATCATCCCATGAAGAAGCTCCTGGGGTGAAAGCCACTAGACTCCAAGCGAAGTAAGTATTTCACACACCAAAACCAAAATACATACTTTACTTAACACTCCAGTAAGGAGATAGGAGGTATCTTTAGTGGTCAGATTCTGAAGCACTGCTTTGAAGTACATGTGATATTTTTGCCTATTCAAGTACATTTTGTTTTTTAATTGAAACTGCAGAATATATTTGTATTTCTTTATTTTTGTATGTGTTCACAAATAAAACTTCCACTGGATAATTTCTAATATGAACAATACTTCAGACTACAAATGATGCCACAAAACTATTGAGCTGCTATAATACCAAAATATAAGAATCCAGTAATTGTAATTCAGTTTAGGTTGTATATAAATATCCCTGATTCTTTGCACTCATTTCTGGAAGAAGCCGCAACCTTTCACCATTTGTGTGTTCATCAATTTCCAGCCCTGAAGTCTCTCTACATGCAGTCTATTATTTAGTACACAATAGGGACGGAGCGAGAGAGTAAATAATTTCATTCTAAATTATCTATGATGTACACAATTATCCAAGCAGTTGGAATCACGCCTCTTCTTCTTGTCTTAATGCATGCTAACATCTTCAAAGTTCTGGGCTGCTGTTCTTTGGTTACTCAGCCCATTCAGCAACAGAAAATTAGCCATTACTGGAACAGAGAAGTAGTGCAAAGCTGGATAAATACTGAAAGAAATTTGGGAAAAAATTGACATATGAGGAACAATCTGTTGATCATCTGATCGTTATTATAGTGCCGACGGTGCTGGCTAGGTGGTTTGGAGTACATTTTTTGTGTAATACCTGGATATGTGCATTAATCCAGAGGAAGCTGGAGTAATTGATGTGTTGGTTATCATTTTCTTGGATAATGAATAATAAGCCTGCAGAAATGCTGATGGGTTGCAATCCCTGAACTTCAAAGCCTTAATTTTAGGATTAGGTGTTCCTGAAACACCTGGTAACAAGGATTTTAAATTAGATTTTTTCTGGTTTAAGTAGTATCTGGAAAAAAAAAAATTCTGGGTCTCTTGTATGTCGTTTTATGTTAACCTTTGGATTTTAAAGGATACGTTCACCTTTCATAACATGTAACATTCATATTTCGGGTGTAACATGTTATGAAAGCACCGACCCCTGCTCCCTGCCGATCCCCCGCTTTGAGAGCGGGGATCCCCCCTCCCGCTAGCTGTCACTCATTCACCGCGCTGTCTCGACACCCGCCAAGGAGTGTTATGGAGCGTTGTGGTAGGTCATTAAATCTTCCTGTTCGTGTATCTGCTTGCTCGTACATCCTGTACGTGCAATCAGATATAATGACAGATCTGCAGGTATTAATTGCAGGTGCAATGCTTTACAGGCTCCTGCAGCAAAAAAAAATAATAATGAATGAATAATAAATGTGGATTTATTATTTTTCTGCGAAAAGTTGAACTTGTCCTTTAAAGGAGTATATCTGCAAGCAAGATTTACACAGCAAAGAAATTAATTTTGGTCATTTTTGTTTCATTCACAGACAGAGGGTGCCAATGGATATGCTCACTGGATCTGTACAACCCTGCAGGATAAAAGCAATAGAAACACAGAGCTGTATCGCTATAGCATATTGCAGATGAATGCCATCTCTGCAGCTCACCTAGCCCTGAACAAATATACAGGTAATATAGCAGTTTAAGTTCCATTATAAATAATTGACACCTCTTGCGACTAACTCCGTTTCTTACCACTGCAACCTGCTTGTGTTTATTCATAAATATTTGAAGTGGTTGTTTAAATGAAACCTCTAGCAAGAAAACATGGAGCTGCCATTGCTAAGCATTGCCATTGCTGAAAGTGCAGTGAAAGCCCCATTTAAACCCCCAATTCATGACTTGGAGCTTACCCAGAGCTGAGCTCTCTCCTTTTGGGCCCATGGGACAGCATAGGGTGTCAATTCCTGAGCATTAGCAGCAATATGTGAGAAGAAGAAGAGTAAATGACATGTTTTCTGATACCTGAAAGTATGCTACTACACGGAGTGATGGGGACAGGAA